CAGGGCTCTTCGCAAAACTGTAGAATCCATGAGTTCCTCCATTAAAATGAGAAATCTGCGTTTTCCTCAGGTAAAGGGGGAAATCTCCATTTTCCCATGGGAAATGGAAAACCCAGATCCCTGGTGATAAACAAGTGCTTGTCATCCCCTCAGAACCTTTCCAGAACTTCATTTTGTCACTTTTGGACAGATCCAAATCTAAAAGAAAGGGTCATGCAGCCTTCCCACTGGATGGAGTTAGTGAAAGGTGATCCTGGCTACCACTGGAACCTGAAGATACAGATGCTGCAAAGGATCCAGGGAGCACTCCAAGGCTGTGACCGTGAGTGGTGAGCAGAGGCCAGACTTTATTCATGACTGAGACTTTGGGGAAGGGGTCAGGGTCAGTCAGAAGAAAAGTAGAAACAGTCATCATCAGTATACTTATGGCACCTTGCTCCAAATTTCTACACAATCTCATCCAGCAGCTTTATGTGAGCAATGAACAGGAGAGGTGACGAAATGAATTTCTGGAAAGGCCCTGAGGGGATGACAGGCACTCATCCATCACCACCCTTAGTGGTCCTAGCAGATCATACAAATGCTTTATCAGTCTTTCCTGGTTTACTGTATCTAAGGCACCTGAAAGATCTAATTAGATTAGCAGGGCACAATTTCTCCAGTTCTCCAAGTGAAGATTGTCAGACAGGGTCCAGGAGCACAGTCTCTGTGCTATATTCATGATGAAAGCCAGACTGACCAGAATCCAAAAAGCTATTAGTATCCAGATACACATGGTGCTATTTGGGTGACCACCTGTTCCATGACCTTCTCGAAAAAGGGGAGGTTGGAAACAGGGCAGTAACTGGATTAGGAGTCAGCATCAAATACTGGTTTCCCAAGTAGGTTCCAGACAACTGCAAACTTAAGAACACCTGGCACCCTGTCCTCCCAAAGGGAGGTATTGACAACCCTGCCAGCAGTGACCCCAGTCTCCCACAACTGGCTTTTACAGGCCAGGATAGTCATGGGTCCAGTCTCCAACTGCTTGTCCTCATCCTTGGAAGTGTATCTTCTGCATCAGTGGCAATTTAAAGTGATCCATTATAAATGAGGAAGCTTGGTCTTGTCCTAATCGTGAACTCTGACCTGGCAGCCACCACTTTTGCTGCAAAGTTAACCTGGACACTAATGACCTTTTTTATCTGCTAAGTAGGTGGCAAATTTGTCACAGCAGGTAGGTGATATGGATGCTGAGGGAACAGCCACTCTAGCTTACCTTGGATGTACTGCGTTTGTCTTTCTGGCAGAAGTGATTTCTGGTATGTCAGGTGCAATTTGGTAGCCAGGCCAAGTAAGATTTGTGTTCTGAAAGTAGAAGTTTCAGCACCACATAACATTCAAGGAACAAAGATTTCTTAGATTTCTGGTAAATCTTGATATAGACAGCAAAAGGGAAAGAATTGGTGAGAAGGGAACCTGAGTGTATAAAACCAAAGAAGCAGATGGATTGCATTTTTATTCCAAGAGGGGAAAGAGAGCTAGAAGCTGTCCAACTCAGCCAGAAACAAAAAAACCCTGCAGAACTGCCTGTCTCTAGGCAGTACTTCTCAAAATTGTTGGAGTAAAGGCACCACTCTTAACATTTGCAGATTGTGGCGCCCAATCTCAGGTACAAATTTGTATATTATAGGGCTTACCTCCTTGCTGAGGGGCTGAGAAATGGGGGTGCAGGATTGGCCAGGCAGGGACAAGCTTAACCCTGCATTAATTTGCTTATCTCCTCACACCTCACATAAACCCTTCAAAGGATCTGGTAGCACCCCAAGATACTGTGGCACCCTGGTTGAGAATCACTGCTCTAGGGGAATGAAATAAAAAAAACTACAGGGGATTTATCTCACAGTATCTTAATGGTGTGAAGCAAGCAACTTCTAAATGCAAACAGTTATCATTGGTAACTCCCAACTGAGAAGATTAGACCAAGCAAGGCATATAAGGACACCTGGGCAGTGCTGTCTCTGGAGTAAAATTACTGAATACTTGCTGAAGAGCTTTCTCAATCCTCGCTCAACTATTGTAGTGATGTGCAGTGGCAGAACAACCTGGTGTCATGTGGAACTAAGTAGACTTCTTTTTTTTTTTTTTTTAAATATGTCAGGGATCTTGGAAGGGAACAGAGATCTTCCTGGTACTGTACATGCAAGCATACAAAATGGGGGAGATGAAGGAGCCTTATCTGTGTGACTGGTATGAAACTGCAGATTTGGGTTTTGTGAAGCTTTGGGCAACGTTCCAGGTGTAGAAGGGGCTGTGTGAACAGGGCAGCCAGTGTGTTGTGGGTACTGGGGCTGAACTGGAGTAGCTGGAGGTCAGTAAACTAACAATGCTAGGGGAGGCTCTAAAACAGGTAACTGATTTAAACTCAATGTAGTGTTGCAACCTATGTACAGAATGAAAAATGTTTCCAATTGCTGATATGTCAGTGCTAGAAATCTAAATATAGAAGCAAGGAAAATTAGGCGTTTGTATTGATTAGCCTGACTAAAACATGATGAAATTATTTGCATAATTATTTGTTCCTTAGTTTATAACCTTAAGAGTGAATAGAAGTCATTCCACCTAGGCTCTGATTGCCTGTGAGAGAGAACTGGGAACCACAGGACCATGGATGCATACCTGTTTGTGTGCTAGCTAACAGAGCCTAGGGATGGAATGTGGGGAGGAGGACAGGGAGGTGTTCCATTATATGGAAATGAACAGAATTGGAGATCAGGATAAACTGTTCTAAGCACCAATCTATAGCGTGGAACAGGAAAAATGGCGGTGTCTAGAATTTCTCTTTGGGAGGCATAGGCCAGCATTCTCATGCTGTTAGTAGTAAATCATAATTAGGGTATCTAAAAATATCTATGATTTTCTAACACAAAGCATATTGCACCCAACACAACTTTAGACCTTTTTATGACAATAAACATGACTTATTCACTGAACTGGAAGTTTGCATTTATCTAGGGACCAATTATACTTCTATATTTCTTCATAGGTTTTTATTGAGTAATGAGCAGAAGACAAACATTTGGAATGAATACTTTTGTATTTGTAACAAATAAACAAACTTGGAGTAAATTAGCCATTTTTTCTGTTCTTAATTTATCCAGGAATAAGGCTGCTTCCTACAGACTTCTTAATTTGTAACTGTGAAAGCATTGCAGCTGGATTTGTGACAAATTGGTTGAATATTACCAGCTTTCTTGTTTTTTGCTTTTGAGTGGGGTTTTTTCATACATGTATATTTTTATACAATTAGTAGCAAGGAAAATGCAAAATAGAAATGGGGGGCAAAACATTTTGCACAGTTTTGCCCAGTTTCCAGTCTGGGAACAGTGTATCTTCATTTCTTCATAATGGCTGCACCTGCAAGCTGCTGTTGGTCATGTGAGATTTTTTTTTGTCAGTTACATCCAGTAAATAAGTTTATTTAAATTATCTTTGCATAAATTACTAATATAAAGAGTTCCAGTTCCATTTTATTTTTGTGCAATCTCTAAATTAATATAATATTGAAATTTGCGGGAAAATGCCTTTGAATAAGGAACCAGCTTCAGCCTTGTGTGATGCCTCACTGCCACATCACATATTGGGTGGAGAGACAAAGAGATATTGTGGCCCCACTGTCATATGGAATTCCACTATGGATGGAAGCAGATCTAGTGAGGGATAAAAGACAAGTGTCAGGTCCAGTATCTGCAAGTATAGACCATATTTGCAGCTGAATATATATAGTAGCTCTGGAAACCTAAATTAGTTGTTCTTGTTTATTTTGGAAAGAGTGGCAAAGCATGTTTGCATAAGTTTGCACTTGCCAGCATTTTCTTACTGTTAGACAATAAAAGGGTCCGAACTAAATTTTATGCACTTCTAATATTCCATGGTGTTTAAAGGACCAGAGGCCATATACAAAAAGGTTTTATTTAAACCAGAATTTATTTGGACTTTATGTCCAAACATAATCCAAAAAGAGATCTGACTCAGCAGCAGGTAACCCTGGAAATGCCCAGCCTCACTGGGGGCTTCTTTCTTAGATTTGTTTCTTAGGCACCTGGTGTTTTGCCATCTGCACACATTTGTTACAGAGAATGAAGCTTAAACAGTGCTTAGATCACATTGTGATGGAAATGGAGCCTCTGGGGAACTCCCCTCTTGTCAGCACGGAGGTGGAAAAGGATCTGGGAGTCATTATTGACTCCAAGATGAACATGAGTCGGCAATGTGGGGAGGCGGTTAGGAAGGCCAGCTGCACCTTGTCGTGCATCCACAGATGCATCTCGAGCAGGTCCAAGGAGGTGATCCTCCCCCTCTATGTGGCACTGGTCAGGCCGCAGCTGGAGTACTGCGTCCAGTTCTGGGCGCCGCACTTTAAGAGGGATGTGGACAGCATCGAGAGGGTCCAGAGGAGGGCCACTCGTATGATCAAGGGACAGCAGGGTAGGTCCTATGAGGAAAGGTTGCGGGACCTGAACCTGTTCAGCCTTCAAAAGAGAAGGCTGAGGGGGGATCTTGTGGCCTGTTATAAACTGGTTAGGGGGGATCAGCAGGCGCTGGGGGAGTCCCTGTTCCCCCGAGCGCCGCAAGGAGTGACCAGGAACAATGGTCACAAGCTGGCGGAGGGAAGGTTTAAGTTGGACATCAGGAGGCGCTACTTCACAGTCAGGGCGGCTAGAGTCTGGAACCAGCTTCCAAGTGAGGTGGTGCAGGCTCCCACCCTGGGGGTTTTTAAGAGGAGGTTGGATGACCACCTTACTGGGGTCATTTGACCCCAGTGCTCTTCCTGCCATGGCAGGGGCTCGGACTAGATGATCTGCTCAGGTCCCTTCCGACCCTAGAAACTATGAAACTATGAGGGGAGGACTCAGCATTGAATTCAATACAAAACACAGCAACTATGGCTACTTTTATTAAAAAACACAGTCATCACAGGGTAAAGTGGTATAAGTGCTGGTGCACACTTATATAATATAGCCTTGTGCTGAGAGCACTTGTCCAGAAGTGAGAGACCAGGGTTTAATTTCTCCCCTACTGACAAAGTTTTAAACCTACACCCACCAACTTCCAGAGGGCTGCCCTAAAGCACCAAGCTACGTGATTAGATTGGATGGGGATGGATTTTTGTTGAAGTTAGGCCACAATGCAAATAAGAATTCAAGATTCATAAGGCCAGAAGGGGAGCAAGTAAGAAAGCCTCACTCTGGTCTCATGGCTAGGGCATTCACCTGGCTGGTGGGGAGGATGCAGAGTCCTAGGTTACAGTCCCTAACACAACCACACATGCATATTTTTGTTAAGTAGTCATTGGATTAATAACTAACAGCAGTTATAATGGCCAGGTACCCAAAAATTTGTTGCCTAGTAATTAGGCATTCTCACTCCTTTATTCAACTTGGTTTCTACCTGTGTCCTTGAGCAAAAGTTAACTTAGTATCTTCTGCATTCTTGCTGCTTTTTACTCTAGTAATTGCATTTGTGTTAAGGTTGCGTAATGGCTTCCATCATGGTCTCCTTCTAAACTCATCTTAAGTGGCCAAAAATAACTTTTTTGGTTAAAACTTTCAGTGCTTTGGGGTGAAGTTGGAATCGCAGGAGAGTAGAATGTACCAATTCTATGAAGAAGTATAAGCAAGCAGTTGCTTTTATTGAGACTATTTGATTGATACATATTAAGACTGCTATAACAGTGAAATTCAAAAGGAAAGTAAAAACAGAAATTCAAGCTTTGGGCTACAGATGCAGAAAAAAAATCACTGTGGTGAACCTGCACATTAACTCTATGCACTGGTTTCAATCTCCTCTGCATTATGAAAGGTTTCTCTTCCAGCAGTTCCAGATGTCTCATTTCCATTCAATATTAACATCTTGCCATTTTTTTCTTTTTTGTTTTCATTTTTTCCAACTTCTTGGTTTAGGTCTGTGTTTATAACCACCCATTCCTTCTTTTTCTGTCTTCAGTGATAGCCACAACAACTAGTTGTTGGGACCCAGAAGCCTGTGAGCCTGGGTTCTTAACTCTGGCGCTTACAATAATATATTGTGAGGTGGTGAGCATGTTGTATTGCTTTTGACTAGCTTTAGTATTAGAATTGTAACTGCTATAGTTGTTTTGCTTTTGACTTGGAATTGTAACTGTTAACGTTCAGTAAACTTGCTTATAGTTAAGGTTAAATGTGTCTTAGTCTCCATACCTGGTAAAAAGACATGTAGCATTTATGATGCTGAAGTTGTTTTGAATTAGAGCAGTACAGAATACTGCATGTCTCAGTTTCAGGCTTGTCTCAGTCACTCAAAAGCAGAAAAGGCGGTTTGTTAGCAGTAGCTCATGCACCTTGTAATAGTTTATTTTTACATTTCTTTTAAGGATTGTGGGGGTTTTTTGTTTGTGTATGCATGAATATAAATCATCTTAAAAGGTTATTTAGGCTGAAGCAAGGCTCAAGCACTCTGAATTTTATGAAAGTGATTATGTGACATGGTTGCATAGTGGGGTGGGGGCTAGAATGTGTTACCTGGAAGTTCCCTTTCAGTACTCTGAAATACCAGGCTGAGAGAGTCCCATGCAACCTTAATTCTGCTTATACATTTGAATAAGGAAGGGACCAGGGCAGTGAATAGTGTTTTCACAGTATTAGGTTATTATAATGACCATTCACAGTAAGAGACAAGATCTTCCATTTCTTTCTGATGGAAGTCATTCCTGCTTTCGTAAATCATTTTGGTATCTGATTATTTTTGTAGGTATTTGGATGGGTTTATAGTACCCTTTCATGCTGTATGTGCTAGTACAACAGACTGAGGTTGGAGTCTCCATAGATTTTTAATTTTGACTAGATTTGAGTCTAGACTTCCTAGAATTTGCTTTACTTTTGAAGAATGGTAGGGTATAGAAATCACATTATCAGTGTCTTCTACCTCCCTAGTAATCTTTCACTGAACTTAGACTATGAAGCTAGGGACAGACATTACACATAAACTGGTTTAAGTGATCAGAAACTGATTTAAACCTGTAGTGGAACAGAAGTTCAGTGCACATAAACCAGTTTGAAAATGGCTGAAACCAGTTTGAGATACTACATTCAAACAGGTTTATCAGACTTAACTGATTTGGGTCAAACCGGTTTATGCAATGTCTGTCCCAGACACCTTCCTGGTTTAAGTTAAACCAGAGTCCCTCAGCATTCCAGATGCTTTGCAACTGGAGGCAGGGTTCTGCTCTCTGCTCCAGCCCAGCAGAGCTGGCCCCACCCCTTCTCCCTCGTTGGAGCTCTGGCAGAGAATGCAGGTACAGCTGCGTCTGCCTGGATTCCTCCTGCTCCCCTTCCTCCCCCTCTCCACTTCCTGCTCAAGCAGGGATCCGCCCTCCCCTTTGCCTTATACAGACTTCTCTCTGCATTAACTAGCATACCACATGATGGCTGTGGTACATGCTGTGGAAGACAGGAAAAAGACAGAACAGTGTCTGCTTAAGGCTTTTTGGAGCTAATCAGCAGGTAGCTGGTAATGTCCCTCTGTTCCTCCCTTGGAAGAAGTTGTTTAAGAAGAGCCTGAACTAGTGAGAGAGGCTTTGTTTTGTTTGATGCGCTGATAAATGCTAACAACTCCCTGTGTAAGTCTGTGCTGTGTAACTAAATGCTCTGTTATCAGCAGGAGGTGGGGAGGGGGGGAACCCCTCCCTAATGAGAACATTCTGCTGGGATCTGGGCATGCCCCCCCATCTTAGCACTATGGAAGGGAAGGGAGGGCTGCTGTAGCACCCCCCAACTTCTAGCCTGAGCCACTGCAGGCTTATGACTGCATTTCTCAGATGTCTGTATGGTTATAAACCGGTTCAGCCTAGCCAGGTTAGACTAACCTGCAAAGACTGAATCAATTCACACTCAGGCTTTCTGAATGTCTGTCCCTAACCTGAAGGTCTATGTTCTATACCTCTTCCCCCCCACCCCCCGACCATATAATTCATCTTTACTCAGTGTCTTTCTGGGATCTGTGATTCATAAAAGAGCTAGGTTTATGAGTTGTCACTAAATTGGATTGTAGGGTGCTCCTAAAGTCGACGTTAATTGTAGACGGGCTGTTATCTATTTTTTCTGACTGGTATAATGTGCAGGTATATAGTAAGACACTTTAGTACAACTTCCTTTTCAAATTGTACTACTTTTTCATTATTTTTGGTTGCTGGAAAGAGAACATGTGAGTAGAGGTGTGATTTAACTCAAATGTGAATTCAGGATGAGGTTAGAGATTGGAAGAGATGCCATATTACCATTAAGATTAAAAGCTGATTGTTGTCAGTAGCTACAACCTTAAGGAAGCTGTTGGATCAGCAGAGTTGAGTTGCCCTGGATAATGGGGGGGAAGTCTTAGATGAACTTTTGAGTTACGAGTCCAGATGTTTCTGCCTAAAGCAGTGAGCAGTGCACTAGGAGGGTTGTGTAATTAAATAGTGTGAAGGATGCCTAACACTGTTGATATGTGGTATTGTCTTTTTTCATGAATAAATTAAAATAATGTGAAGACGTTAGGCTTTTCCAGCACTGAGTGAAGGGCACATGGTTACTGTTAGATTCCATTGTTTTGCTGTTAAAATTGTTATGAGCAAAGCCTCTTGCCAGAACAGAATTCTAAATTTACACAATGGTATTTTCATAGCACTGTATCCATGGCACTTTACCATCTACATCTGCTGGAATTATGTCAAGCTGAGCTTATTAAAATTTTGGGAGCTCATGTTCCCATTTAAGGAGGCAATTCTGACAGTTTTCTGAATCCTTTATTAGATTATGCCATCCTATCACATTATTACCTGCCTGCTTATTGAACTGCACATCCATTCATAATATGCCAACAACTGTCATGCTGGTCATTTTGATTTTAGGCTACACTACAGCCTTGAGATAGCATTGAAAGTGGCTGAATCAGTTTCCTTTAAACAAAGTGAAGATAAGAAATGCTTATGTACTTTAGTAGTTAACTTTTTAGCATTTTGCCTTCAGACACAATGAGCCAATGAAGTCCTGCAATCTCAAAAAGGCCTAGACAAAACAATCCTGAAGGGGGCTGAGTAACTTTTTGTATATAATGGAAGACCACAAGGTTTTTTCATCTTCAACTTGGTGCTTCAATTGGGATATTTGTACATGCTATCACAATATCCCTTCCTCTCTTCCCCTATTATACCAATGAAAGTTATTCTTGTTTAGATGTTCCCTTGAAGAAAGATTGAATAGTGGTTTTAGTGGTTTGAACTTTAATTTGGTTTCACAGCTGCAACAGTGGATAGTATTTCATAGAAATCTAGATCTACTAGGTATCCTTTTTTTTTCTCCATCAGATCTATGACAGGAATCCATAGTGTCAAAAACATTCTGACCTGTTGTGGTCTTTTTCAGTTTTGCAGTAGAAGAATTGTCCTGTTTTTTTTTTTCCGTTTTTTCAAAAACGAGTAAAAGTTAAGAGCTGGCATTTTCCAAGGGATGCCTGCAGTCTAGAAAGGTTTGGAATTATTGGCTTATACTGGACCTTTGCATAAGGGTGCTTTACTGGAAGTATGTTGTCGTGCCCAGATGCCAGGGC